GATATTGAAGATAGGATCAAATATATTGCAAGATGTCTGCCATACTCACAGGCTGTTCAGATGCCTGCCCGACACAGCTGCCAGTTTTTCCTGTGCTCTATCAATTATTTCTTTGTTTTGCCTGGATGGTGCTTGTAAACTCTTCAAGGTGTGCTCCTGGGCAGTTATGCGCATTTGAGAATTTTCCCTTCTGATCCCTACTTGGCTGTCTGTGGACCAAAACTGATTTGCAGGCAAGGGAAGACTGCTGAAAATTTCATGACATTTAGATTTTTATAAAGCATATGCTGGTGGCTCAATAGGTTTGCTTACCTTGGATTAAAACCTATTAACGTTCCAGCGTTTTCCTCTCTGTGAGATTCATTTCTGACTCGCTTGTGGTGACTTGCAGAGCGCTTCATTACAGCTCAGGGGCACAACTGATGCCGCACAAGCCATTAAAAATGAGTTTGCGAGAGTACAAAAAAGAAACCTTTGTAGACGAGGGCCAATTTGTTTCGAAGGCGATGCACTGTAAGAGCATTCACAAAGCGGCAAGCATTATCTCAGATTCAAGCTATGCCGTTTTCTCTCCTATTTTTAAATACCAAATAGAGAACTGGGAGAGTCCTTTCTTTGTGACAGCAGCTTTGGTTCCTGCCCTTATTTTCTGCCATTGTAGCTCCAGTTAAGCTGTGAGAACAGCCCTGTGGGGTTTTTGGGGTTTTTTTTCCATTGGATAAAATCGATGTTTGTTTGGGGTCCTTATGAGAGTCATCTTATTCTCTATGCCTCAGTTTCTTTATATGCAAGATATATCCAATACCAAACTCACAGGTTATTGGGAAGGGCGGGAGATCTAATGAATATAATTTTTATAAGTGAAAATGAGTACTCAATAAAGCACAAATAATAATTTTTGTTGTTATTAAACCAGGCACATTTTACTATTTGCCACCTCAAGATTCTCCCATTGTTTTTCCTAAGTGATTGCAATTTAATTTGTTTTTAATTAGCCCTCATTATTTGCATATTCATCCAAGTTGCAAGCTCCAAGACAAATACCTTTGGATCCGGGTTTCTCAACCTCCGCGATATTGACATCTTGAGCTGGACAATTCTTTCAGGGTAGGGACTGTCCTGAGCATTACAGGACTTTTCATGAAATCCTTGACCTCTACCTGTTAGGTGTCAGCATCCCTCCCCAATCTCCACAGTTGTAGCAACCAAAAGTGTGTCCAGCCTTTGCCAAATGTCCCCTGGGGAACAAAATAACCCAGTAGAGTACCACTGCTTCAGAGTTTATCTAGCTGGTGTTGTCTTTGGTTGCATTTACTGTACATGTAGAACAGCAAGAGCACTTGAACTGGTGAAAGCTATACAAACCAGTGACACACCCTAAGAACATATTACAATTTGTAAGACAGAGATATTAACCAGGACTGAAGCCTAATAGTGGCCACTAAAGTCAAGAATGAGACTGAGACCATCGACAGCAACTTTTGAGTAAGATTAGGGGAGATAGGAAAGCAGCTCAGAATGAGTCCGTAGAACTGCGTGGATACATCCACCTAATAGTGAAGAATACTTCCCCACTCCAGGGGCCAGAAGAGAAGAAAGAGAGAAAAGTATCCAGGATAGAGCTGACCAAAGGGAAGAGGTGACAGGGAAGGGAGACAGCTTTCATGTCAAGTAGAGGGCAGCTGAAGAGTAAAGAGCACAGGGCAATATAATATACCACAAACAAAACAGCAAGAAAAATGGAGAAAAGATGAGAGAAGGAAGGACAGAAAAGAAGCAAAATTCATAGTAAACATAGAGGAAAGAAATGGGGGCAAAGCCTACAGGTGTAAAGATAACACCTGACTTCCGAGTTTATCTGGGTCAAGTGTTAGCCCACGGGAAGCTCCACACTGGCCTCCCCACCCTGTAACTGCCTTCTTTCTACCACTGGTGCGGCCTCAATGAACTGGATCTGCTTTTTCACAGGCTGCTCTGCCCATGGAGTCATGCAGTCAGGGGCCAGCTGGTCAAGAGGGACAGCATCTGTTGCTCTGCCCATGCCTGGACCCAGATTCTATCCTTTCCCCAATCAAATCTAGTAAACTCAATAGCTCCTGGTTCCCAATGATAGCCAGGTAGCAACACCATATTAGTCTCATTTGAAGCATAGAATGGATGTACTGATGGTATCCAGTCCTTAGTCCAACCTTCAAAGGCCTCCAGACTCTGCCTTTGCCTTCTTTCCAAACTTGTCCATTCTCATTCTGATATTTTCCAACTGTACTTTTTAGAAACTTGGAGTGCACATTTCTTTTTTATTACAAGCATGAAAATTTAGATTTTCACAAGTTAGAGAGTGTTTTTTTTTATTATACTTTAAGTTCTGAGATACATGTGCAGAACATGCAGGTTTGTTACATCGGTATACATGTGCCATGGTGGTTTGCTGCACCCATCAACCTGTCATCTACATTAGGTATTTCTCCTAATGCTATCCCTCCCCTAGCCCCGTACCCCCCGACAGGTCCCAGCGTGTGATGTTCTCCTCCCTAGGTCCATGTGTTCTCCTTGTTCAACTCCCACTTATGAGTGAAAACATGCAGTGCTTGGTTTTCTGTTCTTGTGATAATTTGCTGAGAATGATAGTTTCCAGCTTCATCCATGTCCCTGCAAAGGACATGAACTCATCCTTTTCTATGGCTGCATAGTATTCCATGGTGTATATGTGCTGCATTTTCTTTATCCAGTCTATCATTGTTGGGCATTTGGGTTGGTTCCAAGTCTTTGCTATTGTGAACAGTGCTACAATAAACATATGTGTGCATGTGTCTTTATAGTAGAATGATTTATAATCCTTTGGGTATATACCCAGCAATGGGATTGTGGGGTCAAATGGTATTTCTGGTTCTAGATCCTTGAGGAATCACCACACTGTCTTCCACAATGGTTGAACTAATTTACATTCCCACCAACAGTGTAAAAGTGTTCCTATTTCTCCACATCCTCTCCAGCATCTGTTGTTTCCTGACTTTTTAATGATTGCCATTTTAACTGCCATGAGATGGTATCTCATTGTGGTTTTGATTTTCATTTCTCTAATGGCCAGTGATGATGAGTTTTCTTTCATATGTTTGTTGGCCACATAAATGTCTTCTTTTGAGAAGTGTCTGTTCATATCCTTTGCCCCCTTTTTAATGGGGAAAACTAGGTAGCCATATGCACAAAACTGAAACTGCATCCCTTCCTTACACCTTATACAAAAATTAACTCAAGATGGATTAAAGACTTAAATGTAAAATTGAAAACCATAAAAACCCTAGAAGAAAACTTAGGCAATACCATTCAGGACATAGGCATGGGCAAAGACTTCATGACTAACACACCAAAAGCAATGGCAACAAAAGCCAAAATTGACAAATGGGATCTAATTAAACTAAAGAGCTTCTGCACAGCAAAAGAAACTGTCATCAGAATGAACAGGCAACCTACAGAATGGGAGAAAATTTTTGCAATCTATCCATCTGACAAAGGACTAATATCCAGAATCTAGAAAAACTTAAACAAATTTACATAGAGTGTACATTTCTAAAAACTTGTTCTCTGCTAATTAATCACCATTATGATCACTCCATCCAGAATCATCTCTCCTTAATGAAGAATCTCTCCTAATACATTTTATAACTCTTATAGCATTTAAGCACATATTCTGTTTTATTATGGAATTTCTGTACATTGCCCTCCCTTCTAGAGTATAAGTTCCTACAGTGAGCACCTAGAATATAGTGTTAACTAAATACCAGATAAAGAACAGAAGGGAAGGAGGTAGCTGAGTCTAATGAGTCCAAGTACTAATAGAGAGGAAATGGAAAGAGAAGGATTAAGAAAAATGAGAGAGGAAGAGGAGTTTAAACAGCATATTTTACTAAGAAAAATATTATTCATCTACATTCTCTGGTGAGCTACATTTCAGAGCATTTAATGTAACTATTTTAGTGCCACTAATCAGTGTTTTTTTAAAACTCCTAAAGAAGTGAAGTGGAAAATGAAGTTGCTGATAGTGTTAAGTAATATTTATCTTTAGAAAACAAAAAAAATGTCTTTAAAATGAAAGCATAAAAACTTGACATATATTCCTAGAAAAATACTGGCAAAAATCATTTCAATAACAGTTCCAGAGACTGTGATAACTCATTTGTTTTATGACATCAACTATCCCCACAAATAGTCAAGAACCAAGCAATACAGAAAGACAAAGAGACACTATAAAGTCAATAGACTAAATTTCATGTAGTTTACAAATGGACAGATATAGTTTGGACATTTATCCCCTCCAAATCCCATGTGGAAATGTAATCCCCAATATTGGAGTTGGGGCCTAGTGGGAGGTGTTTGGGTCGTGGGGGTGGATCCCTCATGGCTTGATGCTGTCCTCATGATAGTGAGTTCGCACAAGAGCTGGTTGTTCAAACATATATGGCAGCTCCCTCCTCTCTTTCTTGCTCCTGCTTTCACCATGTGACAGGCAAGCTCCCGCTTTACCCTCTGCCATGAGTGAAAGTTCCTTGAGGCCTCCCAAAGCTGAGTAGATGCCAGCACCATGCTTCCTGTACAGCCTGCAGAATCATGGCCAATTAAGCCTCTTTTCTTTATAAATTACCCAGTCTCAGGTATTTCTTTATAGCAATGCGAGAACGGCCTACATCATAGACCAAGGGTTAGAACCTTTCTACCCTCTCTTCACACATTTTTCTAGCAAGAACAGGCAGAAAATATTTTGTTACATATAGGTAATTATGGCAGCATTAGAAAGTGGAAAGAGGGGTTTCTGGAAGAATGCCGGGAGCATCAGGAAATGACTTCTCACACAGGAGACCTGTGATCATGGCCTTGGCTCCACCTTCAGAGGCTGATCTCCAGAAAAACTCCTTTCCATGAAAAAGAAGGTCCCTTAAATCCAGAGGAGCTAGGCACAGCTGGACAGATTATCTGAGTTTCTCAACTTAACAAACTTTATATACCTTTCTGCTGGTCTCAGTGTGTTCTCGTGCTCTTCAAAGACTGTTGCATGTAGACCTCAGCCTCGGTTTCCTCTGATGTTTGGTGGTCTTCCTGAGACCCTTAGAGGGAAAGCCTGTGCCTCCATGCTCGTGTTCAGCTGCCTGAATCCATGTGGCCACACAACCAAAGATCTGGATGGAGACCTGAGACCACAATTCTCAGCTGGCACAACTTGGTGGTTGACACAGCACAACAGAGGAGGAGAAGCTGGAAAAATTCCAAAAAAGTGTATCTAAAAATCTAAAAGGGCAGAGCAGTTAAGAGATATTAGTGCAGAGACAAACAGTCCTATATAGCTCAATATCTCCCAGAGTCACTCCCACAATAATAAAAGCACTGCATAGCAGGCGGAATTCAAATCTTTAGGTTTGGGTCCCCAGCATTTAGTATGTGGTACAGTACTAAATAAAAGCTTATTTAATTAAATTGTACATTAATAACTTATCAATAAAAGGTAATCTTATGTTTGATATACTATGCTTAAGAAAGCAAAAAAAGGGAGTCATTATTTTAAATAATTTCTAATCCATGTAATTAAAATGAAAACCATTTGGGCATCTGAATTATAAGTTTTGGTTACCTGAAAAACTCACTTATGTGGAACCACCTATAAAAAAGACATGCCACGACTAGACTCAGATGACAATGGGTTTTATTTGCTATGGACTAGCCTTACTAGAAACAAGACTTTAAGACATACTTATCATTAAATTGGGAAAATATGGCCTTGAATTATTAGACCACACAATTATTGTGTGGGTGGACAATTGGATAGTAAGTCACTTTCTTAGCTTAGCATCAGTGAAGTAGATAGAAAAACTAGGAAGTTATTAATTCTGAGATAATATAGATATTCTTTGGAAAATAACAAATAGTCCTCAGTTTTCACCATTCCTGGAAACAAAGTAATAAAGAAGGCCAGGTTTCCCACTTGAAAAATGAAATAATCAGTGGTTACTTTCCTGCCCAAGTATTCAGTATTAAGGAAACCATAAATATGAATGACAACATATCTTAATCATCAACTATACCTCTTAAATTGTTTAAAACACTGGGCTGATTCTTCAAGCCTGAGGGGAAAAAAATAAGTTGAAATGTATTGTTTGCCCTAAACAAGAAAACTCTGTAGCCCAAAACAACAGTATGGAAGAGCTCAGTGGATCAATAAATATTTGTCATGTAAGGCATTATGCTTGGTGCTGAAAGAAATTCAAAAGATGATTCCTACCCTCAAGGAGTAGTCTGGTCAGGGAGACAGACACTTACATAATTAACTACTATAATACAATGTAGGAATGGTTTAGTACCAGAAGGGAGGATGACAATAACAGCCAGCATTACCGCACTTTCTGTGTGCTTGGTACTGTTCGAATTGCTTTACCCAAGTGAATTTATTTAATAAGTAAGCTTGTGAGGTGGATACTAATACTAACCCCTTTTTACAGGTGACAAAATGGAAAGAGAGGGTGGTTAGGTCACACAACTGGTACATGACAGTGTGCCACTGAGCAAATTACTTTTGACTGCTGCAGGATGCAAGAGGACCTCCTGGGAAAGTTGGCATTTGTGCTGGATCTAGAAGAATAGATAGCTCTTGAATTTGTAGAAGGTTGAGGGAGAACATTCCAAGTAGAGGAAAAAAAACACAAAGTCTGGGAGATGAGGACTTGTGAATCACATGGCAAGTGTATCACCCAAAATCCTTTTACTGATTTTAATTCAGAGAATGGAGTGTATTTTAAAGAAAGCTCTTCAAATCTTAACTTATGTTTTATCCTTTACATTGGTGACTGGCATCTTCATCTACCTAGCTCCTAAGGGAGAATTCAGAATATAATCCAACACCCCATCTTCATTCCTAACCCACACCATCACCACTACCCACATACCCAGATTATCACCCTCCTCTCCATTCTCACAACCACTGCCTCAGTTTAACCACTACCTTGTGACATCCCACCTATACCATGTGGTAGCCTCCTACCTTGAGTCAGATCTTTGGTCTCTAAACAATTGAATCTAGTCTCCATATCAACACTGAGTATCTTTCTAAAATGCCATCTGGTCAAAGTGCTCCCCCACCTACAGGATTAATTTAAATTTGTTATTGAGTCATAAAAATCCACTTGTGATCTATCCCCTGCCTACCTTTCCCATCACATCTTCTGACATTTTCCCAAAGGTATCCTTTATTCCAGCCACAGTGAAATACTTGTTCTCTGAAAGTAACATGTTCTCTATAGACAGCTTTCTACCCTGAAAACCTGTTCCCACCTTACCCCCTACCCTTTCAGTCCTTAATTCTACTCTGAAAATTCCTGTTCAGGTGATTCAGCCTGCATTCTTTTTGTGGAAGTCTTTGATGACAACCCAGTGCAAGTTAGGGGATTTTTTTCCCCTAGACTCCCGTAGCATATTATTTGAGTCCCTATTTTACGATTTCCCACATTACATTATATTGTTTCTTCATGTCTCATTACTCTCCAGATTATAAACTCTTTACAGGGAGGCGCCTTGAGACTCTCTTTACCCGTATTTCCCACTGCTCACTCCATGTTTGATAAATGCATGAGTCATTGGATTCTAGAATGCTGGGACTATGGACATAGCCAGCTCTAGCCTATCTTACCTACCCTCTCCTTTAAAGGAAACCTCATTACTTTCTCTGCTGGATCTGTTTCTAAATCAAATTAAGATAGCAAGATAATTACATATTATTGTCAATACTACAAATAACATTGTGTTATCATTTTTAAAGCTGCAAAACAGAGAAGCTAGCTTAAAATGTTCAAAATCTGGTTATTCCAGACTGAAGAAGGAGATTTATACATTTAATTTTAATCCAAAATGTGCTGAACCCTCAAGGACTGGCAATGATATCTTCATTTCAAAGGGAAGGTTATAGTTAGACCATAAAATTGTTTGATATTTGGATTCTGTTCATAATCCTGCCATATAAATTTACGGACTGATTTGTTTTTACATATCTCTGTCATCCTAGTTATTTTTATTTTTCCAATGGCATCTGCTTTTTGTTTGTTTCTCCCCATCCCTGACTAACTTAAATCCAATTTACTGACACCGTTGGCTGAACAGTTGCAGGACTCCTTTGCCCTCGCTGCTTTTGTCCTTAGGATTGCTCTTTCTCCTTTGCTGCAATCCCCAGACCTTATTGGGACGACTCCAACCTCCAGCACTCAGGTCCTGCTTCTTATATTTCCCCAAAGCTGATTAATGGTGGTTTCTGCTTCTGGATTGGTAGTGGTGGTTTAGTATGAATGGGACTACTTAATAACAACAGTTGTGGCAGTAGTAATATTTACTGAACATTTGCTATGTGCCAGATACTCTGCTAAACAACTATCCACACAGATTGTCATAGTTCATTTTCATAGCACTGCTATGAGAGCTAGTGAGTGAAAGAGCTCAAATTCAAACCCACACCCATCTGATTACAGAATAAAGCAGCAGCTCTCTAGCAGGGCTTGTGAAGAAAAAAGGTGAGAAATTCCATCTCAGTTCCTCTACCTGATTAGAGGTTCCCCTCCCCATCTTCTCACCTCACCACCTGCCTCCCTGATGGACCACTGATTGAAAGGACTGTTAATGAGATTGTTGCTGTCTCTCCACTTTATCTCTACCTTTTCTCTTTGCCAGGAGGGAGCCAAGCAGGCAGTGGTTCTTCCCTCCATTTTTATGGCTGGACTGCTCAGTACACAGTAGTGTCATAAAACACACGTGTACACACACACACACACAGAGCACAAGTATGCACCACCAAGGTTTTAAAAACAGCTCTGAAGAGATACTTTTCCTGCACAATCAACATGTCACTTCTGCTTAACTCCTGTTGTCTTTTCTGTTGACCCCCCTTGATTCCTGATCCCGGGTATATCTCTGCCAAATAAATGCATTAAAACAACAATAACCTCTCATTGTTATCATTTTGCAAAAGAAACAATATTTTAAACACCAAACTAGACATAGTCTCAGATTAAGCAAAATAAATTTACCTTTATGAAAAAATACAGGCAGACTCATCTCCCAATACTAAAGCCATGTAGCCTACCACGATCTCAATGCTTAGATTGAGAAACAAACCTGGAACAACTCACAGGCTCTCCAGTGCCAACCATTCTGCGAGACTGATGTCTGCACTTCCACCCTCCAGATTTGGGAGAGATTTTAAGTAGTTCCTCTTCACAAAAAGGTAGGCCTCCTTGGCTTACATCACCTCCCTATTCTTTTTACTCATTCGTTGTTCAGAGAGTTAACCGACCCTTTTCTGAGCTACTCCAGGATGTTGTGCAGACTTCTGTTCTTATTGTAGTATTTTTTGGTTACAGTTTGTCTGTCTCCTCCACTGAATTTTGAGCTCCTAAGGGCAAGGGTTTTGTCTATCTCATTTTGGAGAGACACAGTACCACACAGTAGGCGCTCCATCTGTTGAACAGAACTGACCCTTCACAGAAGAAAAACAAGCTCACTAAATTAATGGGAGGAACAGAGCTCAATGAAGAGTTTGGCAGAATAATTTTGTTAATGATTTTTAAAATTTTGTCAGTAATTTAAGATGGCAATCATTTTGAAACAGTTATTTAATTATTGAGTCTTATTTTCAGTTAACGTAAGTTATACAAATTCCATTTCTAGATCTTTCCCTTTCCCACTGATGTCCCAAAGCAAAACAATAAAGCTAGAGACCAAAAGATCCTAATAGGGTCATTATTCTCATTTGAGAACAATAACCTTGGAATATCACCAATCACAATATCAGTTAGAGATCTGTTAGTCATTAACGATAAAGTTCATGCAAAGTTAAAACAATGTCTTAGTCTCTTTGGGAGGCCCCATTGCTTAGTATGTTATCAAATAATATACACTGAGTGAATAGATTAATTATTTTGGCAGAAAAGTTAGTGTCCTAGTTTCTAAAAATAGAACAGTAATCCTCAGTATTTTTGTTTAGGGAAGTTGGGGGCAGGAGAGAGGAAGAGATGAGATAAGAATGAGCTGATAGATATATTTGATGCTCAGTGGTCTCACTTGAAATAAAGACATCACTTCCATGTTGTCTTGTCCTTTGATGCAAGTTTCTGAAAGACATCAGATTGATCAGAGACAGTCTACACTCAGCAGTCCAGACTTGATACTTTCTTAATCCATAGTCAAGAAACATGAAAGATATGCAAATTGTAAATTGTCTGTCTCTTCCATCTTCTCTTCTCCCTGAGTTCTATCTTTCTGCTTATCATGACTTAATATATTGATTCTTCATTCAAGTTATAGAATTAAATATTATGTCTGAAATACCGCTGGATGCATTTTGAACTTCCCACCATGTACCAGGCACTATTCTAGGCATTGGGTATATTGTGATGAAGAAAATGAAGGTCATCTCTAATTTCATGGAGTTTTATTCTGATACGAAAGACAGATAGTGACCAAAGAAACAAACATGTACACAGTTTCACAGAATGATAAATCAAGACAGTAAAGTGGAGAAATGGAATAAAGATCACTGAGGAAGTAGGATACAGCCACCTTACAAATATAGTGACCAGGAAAAATATTTTTGAGGAGGTCTCAGTGCTAAAAAGAGCATTAATTCCTCCCTACTCAAGCCAACTTGCTCAATGACATTTGTCAATCAGAGTCATTTTCAGTTATAGCCTCCTTCAAAGAAGGGTTCATGTCAAAGTTCAGTGACATATAAGTGATGTTCTATAAGTGACCATTACCTGATTAATCTTCCTTGCATATTCACTAGAATCCCATTAAATGGAAGAATCACTGGGTTGCTCCAATAAACCTCTGACAGTTACACAAGAAACTTATTCCTCATCAAAGATTTACCCAAACTACCAGAGATCACCTGACAATGTGTTTTACTTTCTTTCACCCTAAATGCTCTTCACCCACTGGGATATTATCTGTTGACATGCAACATCTGTTGTTCATTTTCGAACACTAATCCCTGCGGTGTGTCCTTTGGGTGATCAAGCTTGCTCTAAAGCTTGCTATAAAATATTCAAGAAGATTTGGACTCTCCTATTTTTCCATTGACATT